TTCTGAGGAATGGCTGGTGGGTTTGAACCACCAGCCTTCTGGTTAGTAGTCAAATGCCTTAGGCACTAGGTTACCAGAGCTCCCATAGACACTACAGGTAAAAGTATTCAATCAATCAATGCCCATGGAACCAAGAGGAAATCAAACAACATATAGCATTGGGCAAATATGCTGCAAAAGACCTCTTTAAAATTTTAAAGAGCAAAGATGTCACTTTGAAGGCTAAGATGTACCTGACCCAAGCTGTGAAATTTTCAATAGCCTCATATGCATGTGAGAGTTGGACAATGAATATCAAAGACTGCAGAAGAACTGATACATTTGAAATGTGGTATTGGCAAAGAATATTCAATGTACCAAGGATTGCTAAAAGAATGAACAAATCTGTCTTGGAAGAATGCTCCTTAGAATTGAGAATGGCGACTTTATCTCTTGTACTTTGGTCATGTTGTCAGAAGGGACCAGTCCCTAGAGAAGGATATCATGCTTCTTTACCAAGTTCTTTACCATGCTTCTACCAAAAGTAGAGGGAGACCAAAAAAAGGGAAAGACCTTCAAGGAGATGAATTTATACAGTGGCTGTGATGATGGGCTCAAGCATGGCAATGATTGCGAGGATGGTGTGGGACTGGGCAGTGTTTCCTCCTGTTGTACACTGGGTCTCTATGAGTCAGAACAGACTCGGCAGCACTGAACAACAACAATAGTCTCCCTGTCTGTGCTTGACTCTCATTAATGAGTTTCTAGTCATTAGGTCTAAAAACGGACCCATGGATATCTTCAAACGTGGGCTAAAAATTAGAGAGCAAGAGGATCTCTGTTGTTGGGTTTAGATTATATGTATATTTTACAACTTCCCTTAAACTCAACAGTGAATTAAATAAACTATTCAGAGTGTACAACCCTGGGCATTGTTTCTCTAAGTATGGTCCAGCATCCAAATCACCTGGAATGAGTACTGAAAAAGCACCTTTCGGGCACAAACCAAGACCTAATGAATAAGAATATCAGGGTTGGGGCCTTAGGATAGGCTCAAGAGGCTCTCAAAGTGAGTCTTCTGGAGACAAGGACTAAGAATGATTGCCTAGTCCTCTGGCATGAAGAGAAAGGCTCCCATTTTCAAATAGAAGCCCAGAAAGTTCCTAAACTACCCCATCAGTTGCCTTAGAACAGAAGCCACCCATTTCCTAGGCCATTCTGCTTATGAGCGAGCAACCTACGGAAGTTATCACAGGAGCCAACAATAGGATTATATAAACTACCTGGGAAAAGCAAACTCAGTCCGTTCTTGGAAGGTTTTTGAAAGAAAAGTGAGTGGAAGAAATGGCACTCCTTCCTCTACTTCCTCAGCCTCATCCCCCCACTGCCAAGAGACCCGCTCTGTACCCAATATGTATATTTCACCCATGTTTCAGAGGGAAGTTAGCACAGGCAGCTTCTGATTAACAGCTGGAATTAAATGGACTCCTTTTGCCTCAACATGTGAGAAATGTGCCTACTAACCCAGCAACTTGGGTGGGGCCTAGGACCAAGGAAAGGAATCCTTCAGCACTGGCTGGTAGGGAGCTGGGTAAGGCCTGTTCTTTGGAACATTAAATATATTTTGGCTTATTTTTCTGCTGTCAAGTTTCCAGAATCAGTGTAAAGTAGTTCAGTCAATAATGTATCTGTTTAGTCATTCTTATGATGGGTTCTTTGTCTATTGTGTGATGCTGGGTTTTCTCCCTTTTCCTTTAGTTAATAATAAGAAACACTTGACTAGGGATGGAGAACAGTTGGGCTATCTTCCTGGAAACAAAGGAGATCCCCGATTGTGATGTCTTAAATAAAGGCATCATCTGGTTGCTGTTTGGGCCCAGATCTCACCGAGCATTTGGTTCAAAAAGTTGTCACCCCAGGGAAAAGTCTACTCCAAAACTGTCTTCTTCTTGTTGTTGTTGTTATGTGCCATCGAGTTGGACCTGACTCATAGCGACCCCTCCTTGGGTTTCCAAAGCAGTATCACTACGGAAGTAGATAGCCCCATCTTCCTTCTGAGGAGTGGCTGGTGGGTTTGAACCGCCAGCCTTCTGGTTAGCAGTCAAGTGCCTTAGCCACTATGCTACCAGAGCTCCCCAAAGCTGTCTTAGAGGGTTAATAATGGAATGCTGAGCAGCTAAGATTCTGTGGAAGCTATTCAGCCAAAGAGTAGAAAGGCAAGTAGTCTTTGGGATATTTCCAAAAGAAGTAGTAGCTCTTGGGAAAAATGATTCTTGGTGGGAGGCTTCTGTACCAAGAGGGACTGACACAGTGTGTGAAGTCAGATATTGGCTGTAAGGATTTTAATTTCCTGGGTGGGTTAAGGTGGCTTATGTGTCTGTTTGTGACAGTTCCTGTGCAGTTGCTGCCTCATTTGGAATCTTTATGTGTTAAGCTGTTATGCCCAATATTTTGCCAAATTGAAAGTTTGAGGAGGTGAAATTTCAGATAATCTCTGCAGCCCTTCCCCTTCTGCCATGGATTAAATTATGTGTTCCCCCAAATTTCTGTCAACTTGGCCGGGCCATAGTTCTCAGTGGTTCAGAAGTGATGTAATGATGTAATGTGGCAGACATGTAATGATACCCCATGATGGGATCTGATGTGATAAGCTGATCAGGTGTGAAAGGATTAAGATCAAGGGTGGGTTGCAACACCCTTCGATCCATCATAGCCCTGATCTGCTGTAAGGGAAGCTTCCCTGGTGTGTGTGGTCTGCAACACCTTATACCTTACAAGAAATAAAAAGGGGGAGAAGGAAGGAGAGAGGGGGGACCTACTGCCACCAAGAAAGAGGGGCCAGGAGTGCAGTGCGTCCTTTGGACCCAGGATCCCTGCACTGGGATCCTCCTAGGAACAAGACACACAGAGATAAAA